GGTACGAATCTTCGACACTTACCTGTTATAATTCACAGGCAACCTCGTAGTTTGTCAATATTAACAATTGGCATTGTTAACTGGATATGAGAAAAGATATTGTAAATTAACAGTACAAGATTAGACATCATCAACCAAACAAGTAGGAAACGCTGGTCTTGAATTCAATATCCTAACATTAGAAATCAAGTATATTATTAGAAGCACTAGTATAAATTTAATTTCTGATTAACACACACACATATATATATTTAGTTTTATTGCTATCACTGACATTGAGCGCTTTCCAATAAGTATAATGTATATATAATAATATAAATAAATAAATAAAAATAAAATATATATATATATATATATATATATATATATATATATATATATATATATATATAAACATACACATTTTACATGTATGTATGCATGTATGTATGTATGTATGTATATATATATATATATATATATACATATATATATATATATATATATATATATATATATATATCAAGTGTTAATTATATAGATATTCACAAAATACATGTTAACACCGAAATGAATCTTTAAAGTTTTTCTTGAATATATATATATATAAACATATACATTTTACATATATATATATATATATATATAAGAGTTGAATATATAGATATTCACAAAATAAATTTTAACTGAAATGAATCTTTAAGTTTTTCTTGATTATATATATATATATATATATATATATATATATATATATTCATATACATATATTATATTTTAAGTTTTTCTTTCTTTATATATATATATATATATATATATATATATATATATATATATATATAAAATCAAGAGAAAATTATATATATATATATATATATATATATATATATATAAAATCAAGGAGAAAATTATATATATATATATATATATATATATATATATATATATATAAGAAGAAAACCTGAAAGATTCATTTCAGCTATAATTTATTTCGTGTATATCTATATATTCAACTCTTCAGATCCAAAAGTCCTAGGAAAAGTTGAAAATATTCCGGTCTGCTATATTAGATTGACAGGGGGAAAGGGAAAGCAAGAGAAAAGAGAAGAGAGAATGATGAAAAAAAGAAAAGTGGCGGATGCTCAGGTTCTTTTAAAAAGTCAGATAGAGAAAGGGAATAGAATGGAAATGGAAAAAGTAAGTAATAAATGGGGACTAGTAAGCGTAAAAAGACTGACTAATTTGCTATGGAAAATAGTTAACTATTACCTGACTTGCTATGGGAAATAGTTACCTATTACCAGAAATATATTTTTTTGAAAAAAAAATATTATCAGTTAGCAGTAATACAAATTTTGAAGGTAAAATATTACCAGAAATTGATTTTTGACAAAGCAAAATATTACCAGCAATAAAATTTTTGTCGGCATAAATAACCCGTTGAGGTTGGTATGCCGTAAAACAAAATAAACCAAGCCAAACCATGCTAATATAATTTTCTTTTTTTCAAACATTACAGTCAGCACTATCATACTTAGCACTCCATAACAACATATTAAACATATAAATTAAATATTATCAAATTACTAAAAGTGTGTAAGCGAAGGCTCATGTGATAAGGCTTATACTTTGAGTTTCAAATAGATGAGGTGGCTAGAAAGATAAGGAGTGGATGGAATATTCTCTTTTTATTCATTAAACAATATTGAAAGATTTTTTGACAAGAATGCGTGAAACCTAAATGAAGAGGTGATCGAAAGAAATTATCCTGGATATTTAAATATAGGCGGGTTTGGAAAAAGAATAACCCTGGTAGATTTTTCTTGAGAAAAAAACAATTATCGTCTGTTCGAAACTCAAATGGACATATGCGCAAGTTTGGTATGAAAAAAAGTGTTAAATAAAAGAATCCGTTTACACAACAGAAAGAAAAAAAACCTGAACGCAATGTGTGTGAATGTTGGATGTATGTGAAAATGTCCGTATAACCTACGAGGAAATATCTATACGCGACGGAAACTAAATCTCCGTAAGCAATTAATCCGAACGTTTTGCTCAGGCAGATGATGATGATCCGTTTTTATTTATTTATTTTGCAGGTAAAATGGTTTTGTTTCCAGATGTCATATTTACTATGCTGACATTACGACAGCACAATGCCAAACTGATATACGGACATAATTTTTTTTTTTACATTTGCTATATTAAAATGAAATATTCAAGAAACCTAAGGGCGCAGCCTATTCGTACTTGAACTTTCATCGTTCAACTTTCGATCACATTTTTTTCATTTGTTAAAATCCAGCCACCTTTAAAAGAATTTTGATTTTCCCACAAGATAGTCCTTCTAACGTTGTATTTGTTCGTTACACCAACGAAAAAGGGTTCAAATTCCATTTCCTATGAAGGAAGACCTGCAAATTATTAAAAGCAAAATTCGATATAAATCCATGAAGGTCGATGGATATGGAATATCATCATCTGTAGGAGGACTGGAGAATTTCCTGGCCATGTCAAGGAATAAAGGCATCTATTTGATAAAAATATTACGGTCGATAATATTAACATATATTCCTAAACTCTTCTAAATATGTACACACACACTACACTCACACAACTATATATATATATATATATATATATTAAGAAATGGACAAAGTCCGACAATTTATTTATTAAAGACATTTTTATGTTTAACGTTCTCTTTTATAGATACAAGTATTTAAGTAAATGCTCTGTTCATAATAAACAGTATTAAATACTTATTAAATATTTTCATAGAAAATATTCGTCCTTTGACAGGATTCGAACCTGCATCCTATACGGAACCGGTAAATGTTATTTAATACTGTTCATTATAAACAGAGCATTTACTAAAAAACTTGTATCTATAAAAAGAATGTTAAACATAAAAATGTCTTTAAATAATTGTCGGACTTTGTCCATTATATATATATATATATATATATATATATATATATATATATATATATATGATGAGAACAATGAGAAATACGTCAACAGAAGCAGATTTACAACCGTAACGAATACCACAAATAACAAAAGGGCAATCATCTGGCAATTATTATCACCGTTTAGTGATCATAATTTGTGTTTGAAACTCAGAGTTCCGGTTAGAGGACAGTATTTCCGGTTGCCATTATTATTGGAGGTTCTCTTTGGCTTAGTTTCTATTTCAGGTCTTCATTATCCAATTGGCATTCGGTTAAGGTAGGTACACTTTTTTTATTTGTTACATCAGTAGCATTTCCCATCCCCTAAAGCTATTGGTTGGTTTATTCTGATTATATATATATATATATATATATATATATATATATATATATATATATATATATTATATTGCAAATTAATTGATTTAAAATATGTTTTTTTCCGCTACACAGTTCTAACCATGTTTCAAAAATGGAAGCTAAAAGCCCTGAATTTAATTTTGTAATTGAATTTTAAAAGTTACTCAAAATTCGCTTGAGGAGGAAATGGAACTAATGTCTTTAATTTAATGACAAAATTAAATTCGGGGCTTTTAGCTTCCATTTTTGAAACATGGTTAGAAATAGTTTAGCGGAAAAAACATATTTTAAATCAATTAATTTATAATATTAATGCTCTGTAAATTTACATTGAGCACTATTTTGTAAAAAAAAAAATTTCTATAAGAACACTGGATTATATATCTTACTGTTCTTTTTCTATATATATATATATATATATATATATATATATATATATATGTAGATTGATAAGTTGTTATACTGGAACACACCTATTCTATTGTTAACAGACTCTCCCACCTATAATAATTAGGAGTAGTAGTAATAGTCGCTCTGTTAGTTGGTCAGTCAGTCGATGTCGGACGACCGTTAGTCGGATATTAAAGTATCAGGGACCACCACTAGATTTCTCTGCGTCATTACCTATTATATCAAATTCCTAACGTTTTGTACGTCGAACCTATTTTAGGGCCGACTTAGTATAAATACAAGCATCCACTGTGAAATCATGGAGGGGTCACTAAATACTAGTCGATGTCGGACGACAGTAGCCGACAGTTAGTCGAATACGAAAGTAGTCAGCGACCACAACAAGATTACTCTGCGTAATACCTATTATATTAAGTTCCTAACGTTTTGTACGCCGAACCTATTTTAGGACCGTCTTAGTGAAAAACAAGCCTCCACTGTGAAATTACTCTACAACATAAGTGTACATACATACATAAACGTGTATTAATAACACAGATCTTTAACGTCGCTAACGAAACACGTCGACCAGTGAATTACTGCAGTTTGAGGTGTTTTAAAGTAAGAAAGTGGTCGATGTTTAAAAAATAAAGCAACTTTACTTAACAGACAAAAATGTTCGAATGATTTACCTTACCATGATGAGCTTTTATCATCGAAACTTGAAATCAGAAGAGATGTCTTTTGAATATCTATCTGTCTGTGCGCATGCGTGTGTGCCTGATCATAGTTTTACGATAAATCATATTTTCGTCTCACTTTGGCTTACATCTTTATGATAGGATCGATGAGTCAGTGTGAAAATCGCATCTGTCCTTCAACAACTGTTGAGAGATCACTCATCTCCCACCGTTTGTATTTCATATTTCTGCTTTGACGTTTTTCTCTAATGTCCACTGGCGATGGACATGTGTCAAAACTTTCAGGCTTGACGATTGGGAAGCCGAATTGATATTTAATCAGCTTAAATAATACGTGACACAAGGCCATAAAATTAGAGTAATTACTGAGGATGAAACGATTTTCGTTTAGCGTCGTATCTGAGATTAGGTTTGGTAAGGAACGCTCTTTGATAGGCCTCCAGCATAGATCCGTGTAAAAAAAATGATCGACTCCCTGGTGAGGATTGACTGCATTATAACGATTAAAGAAAATCTACAGAGCTAACTTGTGAGTCATTTTTCCACAGCGGGGGATTTCTCATGGATATTTGTTAATGTACGCCAGTTTTCCGCTAACTACCGAGAAAAATATACATACATTGATAAATAAAATAAAGAAAAAAAGAAAGAAAGAAAAGTAGAAAGAAAGAAAAGTAGAAAAAAAGAAAGAAACAAAAAAGAAAGAAAGAAAGAAAGAAAGAAAGAGATACAAAAATAAAATTGTGATGAGAGAGTCTGATGGGAAAAGAGAGAAAATGAAAATGATAGAGAGAAGGCAGGCTGTCAAATTAAAGAGGAAGAAGAAAAGACGGATATAGATATATGTACGAATAGGAAATAGAAAAGTACAAAAATAAAGCAT